CAGGGAAGGGTCCACAATGACTCTTCTCTCAAGATACTGATGAAACCCAAAAATTCCCCAGAATTACTGAATGCCATTTTAAAACAATCAGTAATTTAAAAAAAGTTATCTTGTTCAAATTTATTTTGTGTCCACACCTGGAATTCTGCATATATTTGTAATGATTATCCTTCACTAAATAGAGTAGAGCTGGAGAAGATTTAGAAAGGGCAAGCTGGGGAGATTATTGGTTTATATGGGTGAATGCATGAGGGCCCACTATCTTTAAATCAAATTTATAACACTGACCTTAAAAAGGTGTGGTGAGTACTAAATGCCAGAAATGGATATTCCATTTTTTAGTAATGTGAACTTAGTGAGTATCATTAACAAATTAAAGCACTCAGCACAGGGCCTGGCATAAAGTAGGCATTCACCAACTATTAGTTCTCTTTCTTTAGGTGCACACAAAACTAGACTTTATGCTCAAAGGGATGAGTCTTCCATTCATAGGGAAAACTGAAATTCTACATGGTTCTCTACTGGGTTACTATGAAGCAAATGGGATTGGTGGAATACAGTCACAACTAGGCTTATCACTTAACTGGACCAATAAGAGAACTAGTGCCATGTTAGATATGTACTAGAAATCAGTATGCAGGAAGCAGGTTCAAGTAAACTCAAGAGTCAAAACCAATACCAGGAAGTAATATGGATAATTTAGTGCATTAATTCTCAAAGTTATAGTGGCAAACAATGACTGGACAGCATAGTCTAGGTACCAAGATCTTTCTACTGACTCTACTAAATAATGTAACTCACTTCTGGGACTTTTGTTTTTAAAATGTGGACAGTGAATCTTGCATGAAGATGATATTGAGGACCCATGACACTATACTCCCTTGCAGGTTTTTCCATTCTCTTGGCCAAGTGAGACCTAAGCTTCATAGGGAGGCAATAAAACATACCCACCAATGTAGAAGGCTTTACAGATATGACTTAAACTCCCAGAGCTCTCCCAAGGGTGTTAGATTTTGCCAAGACGCTGGTATATCCTAAATGCTCTACTTTGTTTCAGGGATGACTATTGTGGTCATAGGCTAGATGGTGCTGGGTGGAAAAGATCTTCCAGAGTCCAGAAAAGGGTGATATCTGTTTTACCATCCTGGATAGAGGTAAAGGCAGTGACGGCATGGGTCCTATGTGCTACCATTTGGACAGAATAGAGGTGGTGAAAGTTAGGACAATTATACACTCCCCCCTCTTTAAAGGTGCTTGTCAGAGGCTCATGTCTATAGTCATGTGTCATGTCTTCATCCATGACGGTATATTCTAATGGTTAGACTGAACTGTGTAGTATTATAAGAAGTAATTACTTATGGCAGATACCACGGTTCTGGGTGTGAACGGAGGTAAGTGCAGGAATTAAAAAACATTGACCTTTCAGAATGTTATTACAGCTGTAGACAAATGAGAGACATAAAAAAAGGAGGATGACTGTTGATGTAAGATTCCCAGGGAGGCCAATCTTGAGTGGACTCACTATGGTTCACACTGTGGTACTGACTTTGCATTGTGAGAATCTTATTTTTTTTTCCAGTGCACTCAGCAGTGATTAGGATCTGGAGGATTGACACTATTAAAACCCACAAAAAACTGATGTATAAGCCAAAACCAATTTATTTATTTATAATGAGATTTAACTGCTAAACAGGCTAGAATACTCATGTCAGCTGACTAGCAAATTTTCTCCCCATAACAGTTTATATGGGAACATAATTACAATCAGATTACTTCTTAACACATAGGATCTCAGCAAGGGGAGTTAGGTGAATAACACAAACTGGGATGGCCTGGTGCTTCCATCCCACTGTATATAGACCTGCCAAATCATGTTGGTCAACATCCCCTCTCTGAGTCTAGAGATTATCAACTCCCTATGCCTCTTTAATTGCCCCCTTTTCTAGACTCCCTAAAGAACATTCTCTTGTTAACAATTCCTTCTTCAGACTTATCATAAAATGATTAGATCTTATCTTGCTGGATGGCATCAATCATGTAGCAGATCTGCCTCCCAAAAACTACAATCTTGTTTGGACTTAGGGACTCCCCAAGTCTTTGTAGTTGCAGACTACATGATCAAGTAGGTTACATCTCATCGGTTCTCAGTAGACTTTAATTAGCTTCACTCTCAGAGAAGTTCACTTTGGTGTAAGTTCTGAGAAAAACATCTGTGTAACTCTCTTTATGCTAAATAATGAGTTCATTCTAGTTGAAATGGATGGTGTCATTATAACAAAATTTTTAAGTGGTAAACAAAATGGTTGCTAGCTAGTAGACAGTAAAGCATTATCCCAGTATCCTATTCCTATGCTCAGTATGATTGTTGGATTGTATCACATAGAGCACAAGAATTCCTTGACTGGGAATTCCTCAACAAGGAGCTTCTAGAAATGGGAGGTTTTATAGCCCAGAATTAATTATCTGTTCTGAGAGGCTATGAAATCTGAAGATTTCTTGGAGAAGAAGGTGATGTTGTTGCAGAGAGAAGGTCCAAACAGGAAATAAGGTGATGCATCTTTGTGAGAGAGCATACAATAAATTGTGTCCCTAAGGTAAGGAAAGATTGGTGATGAAGCCAACTGAATGCCCCCATCAGCATTCCAAGACCATACTAGGGTCAGTAAGGAAAGTGTTTGGAGGCTACTGGGTTACTCTTTTGTTACAGAATTGGGGGTGCTAGATCAGGATACCTCCAGGTAATCCCAGAGACACTTAAAGTTCAAATAGATCTACTTGTTAGAGGCTTTCATACAATCCCAGTACCACAGTGGAAATTTCTTGGCACAATTGGAATATGAGCATTCAGGTCTCCTTGTTATGAGAGCATATGGAGTAAGGTGGATGTATAGCAAGCTGTTGATAAAGGAGACCCCTTGTGAATGCAAATAAAGATTGGCACAGTGGTTAGCGAGGCACTGATGGGAAAAACGATCTATTTGTTAGTGCTACAGGATGAAAATGGTAAGGTCCTAGGTGGGTTTAAGTACCGTCAAAGTTAGCATAATTCTCTAGGAACAAGGCCAAAGTACAATGACACTTCATGTTCTGAGAGGTCTTGATGGCTGCTAGGGAATATGGAATTACTGATCTTTCTTCAGGAAATCAGTTATGGGGACATACATCAGCACCAAGAAGCAGGGAACAGAGGACTGATTATTATTAGCAAGCATCAACTGTCACTGGATATCCTTAACATTTTAGAAAATTGTGTCTCTCCAGCATGGCACTACTTTTTTTCAGAAGCATTAGGAATCCATACCCAGAGCTGATGTGTGTGCCTGTGTGCCAAGAGCACAACACAAGCAATCAAACCCCACTTCTTGAGATTTATTTATCAATGGTGTTGATGTCCATGCCCCAGGATTTGTCAGATGGGATGGTTCAGAAAGTTGTCTGCCATTATTTGCTTTTCAAGATTCTCAACTAGATGAGGTCAGGTGGTCCATAATGGTATAGAGCTCAACATCAATGGTAGTGATCCTAAATGGTGATCACACTGAGACCTCTAGAGTCAGAAACTACTACAGAGCCTGACCCTAAGTCTTCAGTAGAGATTTATTTAACCAGGTTCCCTTACCTGCCAGGTAAGGCAGGAGTATATGCTGTAGACATAATAATTATGATGAAGACTCCTTCCCCAACTTTCATTAATATTTATCAGAGGTCATTATCCTAGACCATTTTGACTTGGCCATTATACATGCTATAACCTAAAGTAAGTTGTTGTAGGAAGAGGAGAGTAACCTGGAATTAGTCGGGCTTGGTTAAAAACATGTATGTGCCTGAAGGGCTAGTTCTCAAGGAAGTGGACCAACAATTCCAATCAGAGTCTTCAAATGGCCATGCCATCTGGTTTGTCAATAGCTAAGAGATCCAGGTGTTTTTTTTTTTTTGTTTGTTTGTTTTGTTTTTGTTTTTTTTTTTTTTTTTGAGCAAGCAGAGGTCTTTAAATAGCAACAAAATACATAGCTGTATGGAACAGTAGTAGAGTTGTGTTTCCATGAAGATTGGTTTGTGTTGAAGCTGGACTCTAGTCAATAGGCAGAGCAGGTTCCAGCCTCCAGTAGAAAAATGTTGATAGGATATGGAATGCAATTAGGAATTCAACCAAGTGTTCTAAACCAACAGGGAACTATAATATAGACCAATAAGGGTGAGGGTGAAAGTCTTGGGCCTAATCTTAGGCACAGAAGATTTAGGCCAACAAACTCAACCCAGATCTCACCCATTGGAGGGAATGGTGTTCCCAGTGCACTTCCAGGGTTGTTTTCATTGGCTCAGATTGGCCAGAGTTTCACCTACAGTCTTTCAGTACTCTTGGGGAATTGGTTCCAATTGCAGAAAGTGCCTGTGAATTGTTTTCATCATTGTCAGGTTGGGTTTGATTTTGTGATAGGTCACCAAATGAACAAGATCTGGTTGTTTAAATTCCCAGAAGCACATGAGTTCATGACTGTCTATGAAGTGGTATCATAGTTCCTCACCTTTATTTTAAATGTTAATTCAGTATATAAATCTTTAAGGCTGGAGGTGAGAAGGATATAAGTTTACAAAGTGACCTCCTCTCTTACTGGTGAGTTGGGTTATTTATCCTTGCTGGGGCTCGAGAACGTTTGGCAAGGCAATCGCTTGTGAAGTGACCAGCCTGGCTGCAGTAGAGGCACAACTGAGCTTCTTGCTGGAGGGCTCGTTTGGCTGGGGTGAGAGGTGGCTGGCTTCCACGCAACTGTATAGGTTCTTCCTTGGGTGGCAGATCTGTGGGGCTGGAAAAGGCTTGGTGGTGGATCATGGAAGCCAACATTGGGAGCTGGGTCTCTGACTGAAGAAGCTCTGGCCTGTCACTATGTTTCTTGTCCAACTGAATACACTGAGTGATCAGGTCTGGAAGGTTGTCCATCATATCTGTGCCACTCACTTCATCCTGGATGGAGTCAGCTAGTCCTTCTTGGAAGTTATCACTCAGATTGGTTTCATTACAGCTCAGATTTTGAGCAAGGAGCTGGAAAGTAGAAGCATCCTGCTGAGAGGAGGAATTGTCCTTTTTGTTCAGAAGGTCTATTTCCTGTTTTGTAGGCTCACCAAATGATTGCTGGAACTCAAGAACAAAGTTCTCATATTGTTTCAGCAGAGTGCTCTGGTCAGGCCCAGATATGATACCACAACTTTCCATCTGCTGAGATAAGTAGTCAAAAAAGAACTTGACTTGGACATCATCTGCAGGATTGGGGAACTTAAGAGTTGTCAACTGTGCAAGAAATCTTGAGAGATTAGCAGGGTCGTGGTGAAACTGAGAGAGATGTTCAAGTGAGCAGGGTACAGACACCATTGGGGTGGCCAGGGTAGGCATGACTTGGCCCCTCGGATCAGGATTCTCTTCAGTCAGATGCTGTATTTGTGGCTGCAGAATCAGATTCTCTGTCTGAAGGGAGGAATGCTCTACTTGCAAGGTAGGTGGTGAGTCTGTGTACTTCTCCATTGTATCTTCTGGAATCAAGTGAGACTAAGTAGAATTGAGTGCCAGTACTGGAAACCAATGGGCAGACAGTAGGGTTTCCACTGTTATCAGAGAGATAGTGTCATGAGCAAGTAGCCAAAACTGCTACCTATGAAGCAGTCACAAGGGAACCCTGAGAGCTGAATTGGAGAGATGCCAAAACTGTTGTCCACTATTCAATGTTGCCTCTTCTCATGGAGAATGCCAATGTTCTGCACATTCAGAAGAGATAAATTACCTTAGGACACATAGAGGATTTGGAATTAAGAAGACAAATACAAAAGTCACAGTAGATTTCTCTCCCCACTCCCTTTCCTTGTAATATAGGGGAAATTTGCCCTTGAACTAAGCCTTTGATTCTAAAATCTCTCTCTTTTTTTTTTATCAGAGAATCAAAGAATTTTACAACCCAGAGTGATCTTAGAGATTATCCAGGCCAAATTCATAATTTCATGAATGAGAAAACAGAGACCCAGAAAGGTAGATATTTGCCCAAGTTCACACAACGACCTAATATCAGAGCTGGCATGCTCACCAGTACTGTTGTCAAAAATAGCACTTCCTCCAGGACCATAAATATGCTCATTCGTACATGGTACTTGAGCATGACGACGGTTCATGCTCCTTTCTACTTAAAATGTAATCTGGGAGCAAGCACCATCAGCATCACCAGGGAGACTGTTAGAAATGCAAACTCGGTCCCACCCCAAACCTACTGATTTAGTATTCCACTTAAACAGATTTGCCAGGTGATTCAAACGTGCACTGAAATTTGAGAAAAGCTTTTTTAGAGAGAATGCAGCCCTAATTGGAATAATCACTGGTTGGACTTGAACCTCAATGCCCCAATCCTAGCCTGCATTGCTGTAGTGATCTGATTACTGTGGTGGTAGTTAATCCATATTTTTCTAGATTCCTAGTCTTTATCTAAGGTCACATTTGGTTGTCATGGAGATGCTTAAGATACCACAGGCAAGATGAAAAGGTGAAGCTGGGAACTTAGTAAACAAGAACAGAATATTCTTAAAAGTATAAAGATCAAAATGTTTAGTAGTCATCCCTGCATTGATAACAAGAATAAAGGAACCTGTTAGAGTTAAAAAACAAACCCAAAACATATGGCATATCAGTTGAACTATTCTGCAGTATAATTCCTCTCATTGCCCTTTCCTAGTGTAGCATACCATTTAATTGTATTTAAATTGGCCTCTAGTGGGCAAAAATGCGTATCATTGAATGTAAGACTTGATTCTCTAGGTTTTATTTGATGGCTCCTCCTCTCTGGAGCTATGGAAGAGATTACTAGAAGATTGAAACTGTATAAGATTGGGGCCCAGAAACTTACCCAAACACTGGCATTAATCAGTTGGATGACATTAAAGAACTCATTTGGGCCTCAATTTCCTCTTTCATCTAATGAGGATAACTATCTTGTCCAGATAGGTGCCCTGAGTGGCAGAGAGATGCTCTCAAGATTGTTCCAGTGCAGCTAACAATATCATTGGTGAGGCTCTTTCCTCGTCACATATTGCCAAAGTAGGGAGATACTGTCATATTCTTTCTTCCTTCCTTTCCATATCCCACCTTTCTAGGCTACCTTTCCATTTTCCAGGTGCCCATCCATGAATTTATTTCTGCCAGTCCAGCTAGGTGTCATTGAAAGGTAAGATGTTGATTAATTAATGAGGGTTAATGATTGGCCTTTCTCAAGGCATTCACTTTTTCCTCAAACTTTAATGTCTGTAGGAAACAACTTGGTCCCAATCCCCAACAATTCCAATTCAATAGGTCTGGGGTGGATGCCAGGAATCTGTACTTTTAACAAACTGCCCAGAGGATTTCTGATGTTGGTGGTCCCTGTGATAAAGCCATCCAGATGAGCCTCAAGGGAAAAAGCCATATTATAGCATCACAGAGAAGTAAGAATGGGGAAGGGGACATATTTGGAAGTAGGAGGCCCTCAAATGACATAGAATAATAGGTGGCATATACTTCTGCATAAAGTCCACAAAGAGCCCACACTGTTCTTCAAAACTGTTCTTCTTTCCCAGACAGTAGAGTGCAAGAGTTTAGCCTGTAGGTTCTAGAGTCAGAATGACCTGGGTCCAAATCTTGGCTTGGCCAAAAGTTGTGTGACTCTGGAAAATTACTTAAACTCTCCAAGAACCAGTTTCCAAACTTTAAAATGGAGGTGATTTTAATACCTTCCTCACAGTGTTGTTGTGAATATTAAATGGGATGAAAAGCGATTAGTACAGCTTCATTCAGATGGTCAGTGATTCATAAATGTTAGCTATCATTTTGCTAGGTCCATAGTATGTTATCTGCGTTTTAGAATTTAATTTTTAAAAAGTTTTTGAAAGGTAACACACAGTATGTACTGTTTACTATATAACACTCCCAGTGGTTCCTGAGAAAATATCCCATAATTAAGCCATTAATTATTCAGGAAAAATGCAGGAAACAATGTCTGAATATTCATACTAAAAGAGACAAGGACTAAGTTCATGTCAGTTTAGGTCAGATTTGATATCAAATTAATGAAAAATAGCTTCTGTTATACAGAGCTCTTTGATTTCAGAATTGAAGATAAGGGGTATGGACCTCTCTACCAAATTCTTCTTTTGGTTGGAAAAGTGTGATTACAACTTTTCTTTCTTTGTTCCTGCCTTCTGCCCTTTCCCTCTACCCTCAGCAATTCCAAAATATCTGTAGAGGTCTCCTGTTTCTTTATAGAATTATGTATTCCAGGTGGCAGAGCATTTAATTTTTCTAATTATGTAGCACTGGTGAAACACTTGCCAAAATTATAAGCATTTGTCCAAATGCAAATCATACAATGGCACTGTTGTCAATGGCAATTGCTTAATCTCTCAAAGAAAATCTATCTTGCCTTATCATTTTGGAAATTGCTCTCCTTTTAGAGGTCAATGACCTTCTATTAGATTGTCCCAGCAGATCCTGGGGCACAGAATGTCAGTCTGGAGGAGTTCCAGACCTCAGTCTTGGGGAGATAAAGCAGAGACTGAGCTGGAACCTCAAATGCACAGGTTTGGGGAATCAGACTAGTGAGCTTGGACCAGGTCTGACATAAAACTGCATATGTTTAAGTTTTTCTTGATTGCCATGTGTTTCAGCTACAAAACAACAAGGCAAAAATAGGTTTAGTAAACTCTTAAAGGCCTTTTGGTGTTTGTGTTCAGTTTGACTCAAAGCCATGGTTGACAGTTTCCCTGCATGAAACTACTCCATGCTGGAGTCCCCTGAAACTCCATTTGGGGAAGGGCCTGAAGTACCTTGCTGCTTTATAAGTGAGCTTTATGACCTTACACTACTTTATTTCCAAGCTGTTCTTCACAACCCTTTGGAGAAGATTTCAACTACTGTCATCCAACTACCCAGAGCACTTGCATTTTTACTCTTGAGCACCAGACATTCTAAGGGTAGCTGTGGCCATGAGAGATAAACTGAGACATAAACAACCCTCAAGAGGTAACCACAGGGGCATACTGTTTAGATTTGTCTGGAGACTTGGGTATGACCCTAGCTCTGCCATAATCTAGACAGACAACCTTGGGCAAGTCACTTCCTCTATCTTGGCCAGTTTCTGTACCCGTACAATGAAGGGAATGGGTTTCTCAAATTTTATCACATATAAGACATTCTGATTCAGGAAAGCTAAGAGGAGACCCAGAAATCTGAATTTTTTATAGGCATTCCAAGTGATTCTGTGGTAAGAGTCCTTCAGATTTTACCTTGGGAATATTGGGTAACTGACCACACAGAGCTCTGACATTTGTCAGAGGTTCTCAAGTTTCAAGGTATGTAAGAATCTCTTGGGAGTTTAACATGCAGATTCTTGGGCTTCACCCCTTGACAGTGTAACTTAATGGGTCTGGGGTGGGATCAGATAATCTGCATTTTAATCAAGCTCTGCAAATGATGCTGATGCAGAAGTTTCTCTGATAACACTTGAGAAACTCTAGGTTGAATACTCTCAAAAGACTCTGCTTCAGCACTATCTACGTTTTTGAAAGTAGAAAATATTTGGCTCCTAAAGTAGCCCCTTAAGTGTGTGATATGTGGATTGCTTCCTTCCAAGGCTCTGCCTGAGGCCGTATGGTCATGTCTAAACAGGAGTCTGGTGCAGGCCTAGCTCAGGAATGTGAAAAGTAGCTGGCTTGGGGACAAGAGAGAGGGTCACAATTGAGCTGACCCTGCTCTCAAGCTTTATGGTTCCTATTGGGAGGTTTGCATTGCTCTGCTCTGCCTGTGAGTGAGGCAGAAAAGCTGTCCATATATCCCCATATTAGAGATTGAGCAGCAGCAGTCCAGCTGGGGTCCATCTGGCCACTGCTATGACTCAGACTTCATACCTTCCTTTAACCTTCAACCTTTCTTTTGGCTCAGCTGGCCCCATGGTCAAGCTGCTTAGGAAGTTAAATGTGTCATGAACACTCTCTACAAGTATTCTCTGGCAGTTTCCCAGTTGTCCTTTCTAATGTGCATAACGTCATTAAGGAGCCACACTTGTTCCATCAGCCTTCCTGCTCCATGCGCCTATTTAACATTCCTCCTAAGGTTGTATTTCCCTGTCTCCTCCTTCCCCTGCCTTCTCCCCCTTGCCTACTGTCTCTGCTGGCAGCCATATCAAATGCCTGAATGATCTTGCTCATTCACCAGCCAGAACCATGGCTGATAACATTGTCCCAGCAGTACATGACCCATTTGCACCATTCTTTTCTCTCAATCCAGCAAAGAAGAAGACCTGGAAGAAATGGGTGAGTTTTTATACGAAGGCAAAAATCTGGAGGCTGGGCAGAGGGCAAGATTGGCCACTGGGCAGGCATCATAACACAGTAACAGAGTATTATGAATAAAATATTATCAACATATAAAAGAGCATTGCATAGAGTCAAAGAAAAACCCCAAAGACAGACTCCATTTTGCCTCTTTACTATACTTGCCTACTTGGTTCAGCC